ATAAACAAAAACTATTGGCTGATGATCATTGCATGGAAATTCATGGAAACGGTGACAATCACGAGTTCTTTTTTTAAAACTTCTGATTATGATGTCATCTCGGAATGGAAATTTTATTTGAAGAATTATACTTTATTTTTTTAAAAAAATAAATTAAAAATAAAAATAAATAAAAAAATTAATATTAAATACATTGCCGTAACTATTGTTAAGACTGAATTTAATAAATCTGAAAATTTTCGATTTATAACTTTTTATAAATCGTACACATTTCATATAATATCAATTAGTAGCTGATTAATTAAATTTTATTTCCGATCCATTGAGTTAAGTGCTTGAGAACTCCCTTAGTATAAGCAATGAGATCAGGGTGTAGAAATCGTGCTTCTTCTTTTTCCTTTATGTTTGCGCTTGTGTTGAATCATTATCATTTAAATTTTTTTCTCTTTTTTTTTTATTTTATATCACTTCGAGGTGTAACAATTATTTTGGTTTATTTTAATTATTTTTAAAAGTTTTTTGTTTATTTTTTTTTTTATTTTTCAATTAATAAATTTAGAAAATATCAAAGTTTACACGGGGTGTTCAAACCCGTATTTATGATCACGTAATAAACAATGTATTTTAATCAGAAAACACGTAATATAATAAAGTGTTAAATTTTGTTGTTCCGAAATAACACGATTGTTACATTTTGAGGCTGTCATATCTTTTGTTTATTTTCCTCTTTCCTCTTCGCTCCTCTCTTTCTTTTCTTTATAAAATGTCTGATTTTAATACTTTTTCTAATGATTCTTATGATGACAACCACAACCCCGAAAATATTCCTTATGATGACAATTATGCTTTGGCTTTATCGCGTCATGTGGTACATTTCCTTCTTCCTTATATCACTATTTTGTTGAAATGTCGTCTCTAATCAGATAGTATTGTGTTTCTTAATAGGGTTATGAACCAAATTTGTTTAATGGTACTTTATACAATGACGATGCCAATGATGATGATGATGACGAATCAAATGAGCTCACAGATTCTTTGGAATAGATCTCTGGGCTAACCTTTACCAGTTGGAACGAATGGATAGTAGGTTTGCATTAAAAGAAGGCTTTAACAATAAGATCAGAACTAGTGAGAAAGTTGAAGGTGTTATGCGAAGGGCTACCTATGAAGAAAGCTAAATGTTATTTATTAAAAACATGTGCATTATAAAGAACAACTCTTTTAATAATGAATATAATCATTCACTTATTTCAATAATTTGTGAAATAGTATCACAGTTTCGTAAATTAACATCTGAAATACTAGCAAATGTCAAAAAGTATGCAATTCAAGATCGAATGGACTCAGAATCTATCTATACTTTACTTAAACATGATTATCTAGATCAACCTATATATAAAAGAGATTTTTACAATACGTCTATCAGATTTGTGTAAATAACAATCCAGGAAACATGAATGTTTCGCAGATGCTTTAGCTGTTAATGCAATACCAGTCGTACCTCATTATTGTCACCCCCCATATAAGCACGACCTCTACATAGTCAACAAGATTTTTGCGCCCAAATTTTTAATTAAGAAACGACCTCTATATAGTCATAATAAGGTTATAGTCACAATCACACCAAATTTATGCGTCCAATCCCCCTTTTTGACCTCTATATGGTCATATCACGTGATTTTACCTGTAAATATTTGGTGATCAAAACGAGTGTTGCAATAATATCCATGATAATTTTACCAGTTTCTCCAATCTCTTTAACAAAATACAACATTTAATTTATTAAACCATGATAAATTTACCGGTTTCTTCAATTTTTTTAACAAAATACCTACCAAGAGATTGTTTGACAGTATTAATAAATGAGCAATGAATAAACGCGTCTGAGAAATTTTACCTTACCTTTTTTCTCAAGATGCCAGTTGTTCCAAGTGCAAAAAAAACGGGTACCACAATAAGTGAAGATATAAAGCAACAAATATGTGTGTATGCTACAAACCTGAAAATAAAAATAAAACACAACAACAAATTGCTAACTACTTCAACTAGCAAAACCAAGGCCTTCATATTGATCGCTCAACAGTCTTCAAAATTTTAGGAAAAAAAGCCAAGTGGCTTGCAGTAATCTCAACATCAGCTAGTACCAAGACTTTTCATCATAGAGAAGTTAAATATCCACAAATTGAAAAGACATTAGGATTTTGGGTTGAAAATGCAAATGCTAATAATATTCCAGTTTCAGAAATAATGATTAAAGAAAAGGCTTTCTTTTTTGCACAGGAGCTTAACATTCTACACAAAAATATATCTTTTTCAAATGGCTGTATAGAAAAATTTAAAAAACACAATAATATTCATTGCTATTGCTTACATGGTAAAGCAAATAGTGAACCATTAGAAACTCTTTTGAAAGAATCACTTAATCTCTACCAAATCGAAAAATAATGGAACAAAATAAAGAATTAATCAAAGAACAATGTGGAGCTATATTTTACTATTACTAATGTGTAATAACAGTTACCAGATTATTGTAAAGATCGTTAACTACAGATCAATACTTTGCTATTTTGCAAAAAATTTGAACATCCTAAATGTTATAGATATCAATTTTTTTTTTGCAATTTTGCAATAAATTCAATAAATTCAATAAATTCAATAAATTGCAATTTGCAAATAAACTGTGATCAAAATTAGCAAAATCATGTAACATTTGACCAATTTGATCAATTGGTGATAGGGAAAAATTAAAAACAATTCTGCAAGATTATATGCTTGATAATATATTCAATGCAGATGAAACAGACCTATTTTTTCATATGGCATCTAATCAAACTCTTGTATCAACTTTCACTTCAGGTACCAAACTGGTAAGCAAATTAACTATCTTTTTAACTGAAATTTTAAAATTTTCTTTTTTGTATTAAATTTTAAAGTTGCTTTTAGGATAAAACTTGTATTACTGTTCTTTTAGCTACAAATGCTATTAGTACTTAAAAACTCAAATGAGGCCTTTACAATAGAAAGGGAGGAAACTCAAAAAAAAATAAAAAATGAGTTAATAATAAATCTGAACAAATTATAGTATTTAGAACATTTTTGGCTTATAAACTAAAATTTTAATTTTTTTGGAGTTTCCTCCCTTTCTATTGCAAAGATCCCAAATCACTTGTAATTAGTTCTTCAAAGAATCCTAGATGTCTTTACTGAGTTAACAGAAATTCTCTTCCTTATACTTATTATGCTAATTTAAAAACTTGGATGCAAAGTAATATTTTGGTAAATGACTTAAATATATTAATAGTGAATTCCAAGTATAAAATTGAAATATTTATTACTTATAGATAATGCATCATCTTATTTTAATCCTGATGAGCATAATACTGAACAAAATGATAACTTGAATTTATCACATATTAGAGTGCATTTTCTTCCATTTAATACAACAGCTCATCTGCAACCTATAAACGTAGGTATTATCAAAAGTTTTAAGGTAATCTATAAGCAACATTATATACAACATATAATTTATCAGTTTGAAGCAAATATAGATTTGAAAAGGTATTTATATTGTCATGATTTTTATTTTATTTTATTTATATATTACATATATTTTAATAATTCTAAAATTAAATACAACAATAAAATTAATGTTAAAAAAGCTATGAAATATGTTGCACAGGCTTGAAACTCAATAAAAGTAAAAATAATTATTAATTGTTGATGAAAAACAGGAATTTTACCAACTATTAATAATGATAATAATATCTAATAAGCTTTAGTTGTACAAAAAAGGGTAAGTCAAAAAAATCAAGAGGAAATTGAATTTCTTTTACAACAAGTTTCATCTATTGAAACTATTTCAAATAAGTTTTTAGAAGAAATGAATTAGTATTTAGAGATTATAGATTTAACAGTTTCAATAGAAAAATCATTGACTGATATTGAAATTATATGATTAATTTTAAATGAAGAATACGAGAGAATTAAATTAAATGATAATGAATCTGATAAAGAACATTCAGTAATATCAATATAAGAAGATCTTAATAGTCTCAAAATATTGATGCAATATTTTAAAGAGCAGGAAAGTAAGGAATTTTATATGAAAGAAATGAAAATTTTTAGAAAATATAAGAGAATTATGTAGTGAAAATTCATTGAAAGTAAAACACAAAAAGATATTATAAATTTTTTTATATCAACTAATATGTAGTATTTTGTGTTAATAATATAAATAAATTTTTATATTTTAAATCAATAATAAAATTTATTGTTAATTTTATTTTGCAATGATATATTAAAGCCTCTATATAATCACAATTTATAGGATTTTTATAAGGATTAACTATATAAAGAAATTCTTTATATAGTCACATTTAAATATAAGTATACTAAAAGTATGCGTCTAACTACGTGAATATATAGAGATATAACTTTAGAAGGATTCTGACCTACTTTAGATTGTAAAGCTTCAGTTAGACTTTATCACAAGAAAGCTAAGCTTCCTCTTATAGATGTTACCCTCATAAAGAAAATTATATGAAAAATACAATAATATTATAATTGTTAATACTATCTATAATATTAACTGTTTTCAAATAATGCTTTACATCATAACTGTTATTGATAATAATTATAAGTTTAAAATCGTGATATATACTATTATTAAATGATGAAATATTAGATATTTATCAATAGATATTTGATATTATATTTACTAAAATAGACATTTCACCTAGAGTTATTTTTACTGATTCAAATCCTTTTATGATTTGATTAATCAAGAAGATTTATTCTAATATTCAACACATATTATGTATTTTTCATACTGATTTAAACCTTTAGAAAAAGCTTAAAGGAAAGTTAAGCAAAAAATTTGAGAAATTTCATTGTAATTTCTATATATAGAAATTCTTTTTATGAAGCCATATTTAAACTTTAATAGAATCAGTTAATTAATAATATTCAATAGCAGTAAAGTATTTGTTTAATATTACTTTACATTAATAAAAAATTATAATCAATATCTTAAATATATAAAAAATTTACTACTGAAATATAAAGTACATAAAAACTTAAATTAATCAATAAATAAATACATGATAAAGTTGATCAAGTTACTTCATTATGTGATATATTATTTAATATTAAAAATTACATTAGAAATAAGAAACATCTTAAAAATTTTGAATTTAAATAATCAGCTTACCCTCTACAGGTATACTAATATTAAGCATAAGATTTTTTAGCCTTATAAATAATGTCATAAAAGCCTTTTAATATCTGTAATATTTGAAAAATAAAGATCACAGATGAACAAATCTGTATGTAATAATATTAATCAAATTATAAAATAATAGAATTTGCTTAATATAAGTTAGATGTTTAGGTTTAGTTAGAATTAGATTAAATAATTTTAATTATTCATATTTTTATTCTTATAGGTAAAGGCAGTGATATACATTTATGATGTCCCAGAGATTTGTTGTCCCAGCTATATATCTCAGCTATATATCCCAACCTGTCTCACACTATGTCTCAAAGGTCCTATCTGTCCTATCTATGTCCTATCAGTGTCCTATCAGTGTCCTATCAATATCCTATAACAACACTGGATAAAGGTTAATAATAAGAAAATTAGTAATAAAATTAAAAAATAGAAATAGGATATTTTAATAAATTTATTTTTAATCAGTAACTAAAACTATATTACTGAAAAATATTATAGAAATATAATATATATGAGTAATTAAAATTAAAAAATAGGTTATTATATGATTTTTTTAATAAAGATATATATAGACTTACATTAGTTAAAAAGGGAGAAATCGCCTTTCTAATCAATTTTGAGATTTTTAGTTTATATGATGTAAATTTACAATATATCTTATTTTTATTTAATTTGGTAGACCAGAAAATATAATAAATTTTTGAGATAATATTAAAAAATTGAAATATACATAATATTGATCATTTATTTGATCATTAAATTATTTTTTTTTTTTTACGGTATGTTACTTCAAAGATAAAGATTGAGAAAGAACTGCAATGTCTAACCTGCCTTTCTTCTTAGGTCTCATATGAATGAACAGCATGCAATATCATTACTTACACCTACATATACGGGTTACCATCAGTGTATAGTCTTACAGTCAACTGGCTTTGACTCCAGTTTTCTGTATCAACTAACCCCAAATGGATTTTTATTAGTTATCAGAATTAGATAGAGGGCTCACTTCAGCTATAGTGATTGACACACTATTTTTACTAAATACTTATAAGGTTTTACCCTATTGTTAACTTCTGAGATCAAGAGATCAGATTCTTTTATGAATAGTGGCTTTGTATCCATAACGTCAAACTCACCCAGAAATGAACCTGACATCTAACTTTAATTGTAATAAGATCTGGCCTATAGCTGCAGCGTGCAAGTCAGTCTATATTTACACTCCAGATCTACTAATGACTGGTTTACCACTTACTTACTTGTGTAAGGGCCCTGAGATTTAAAGACGTAAGACAGTATCTATTACAGACCTATCAGCGAAGGTTAAGTTTTGATCACTAAATTATCTTATAAAGAGATAATCATAAGCAAACACAGGCTATAAGCTTCATGACATTATAAATCTGATGACATATTTTTATTTTAAGTCAGAAGATTTACTTTTTCATCTTTCACAATATAAGATATTAAATATTATTTATAATTTCTAACTAGTTTTAACTTTTCAAAAACACTTTTTAATATTCGCTCAATAAGTTTATCTTTATTAATAACATTTTCTTGCAGCTCTTTCATATACTTTAATTTTACAAATAAGTTAGCTTTTTTATTCTTCTTTAGGTCTAAAAGCTACAAATTGAATATAAAGATTAGTTTATTATACTTATTATTTTTTTTTTAATTTTACTTATTATTTTTTATTTTTATTTTATTTTTTTTGTTTTTTAGAATGGAATCTAGATGAATAGATGAAGCCAAATAAATAATTCCTAAATTAATTTGAGATTTCATAATTTGTAACATAAAAATTATTATGATAATAAATTTCAAATTAAACTGTTTATGATAGAATAGCGTGAAAAACCTTTTAGGACTTAAAAATTTGAATTAAAAAAGATTAAAAGAACTGCTAAATGAAAGATTTTTTTTTATGTTAATTTAAAAATTGATTGACTATTCCAGTCATCACAATTTCTTTACCAAATATTGATAATATAAAATCTTCAATTTTTAGATCAACTATTTTTTTTTTTTTTTAGATATTTTCTTATTTAAAAAAAAAATAAAAAATATATATTATATCATTTTCACATCCATTATCTCATACTTCCTTTAGCTTATAAAAGATTGATATTTTACTTATAATTATAAAATTAAATTTATATGATATACATTTTTTTTTAATTTTTTTGATTATTTATTTTATTTTAGAAATTAACTGCTAAACTTTTATTAACAGCATTACTTTTGACAAAGCAAATTTATCCTGTGACTATCACTGATGCTATGTAAGATAGTTCTATATTTTAATTGTTTATTTTATTTTTGGAAAATGTAATTTAATGTTCTCTATTCTTTTTTTAGAAACAGAACTAGATAAATGGACAAAACTAAACGATTAATCCCTAAATGAATAAACCGATAAGTTCATTTATTTTTAATTTTTGACTTTTTTTTTTTTTAAAAAACGGAACTGAATGAATGGTCTCTAAATGAACAAATCAGTAAATTTTTTTTTGTTTGCCTTAAGGAACTTAATTAATATTCCCTACTCTTTTTATTTAGGAATCAGAATGAATAAACAAAGCTAAATGATTGAAAACTTAAATAAACTATGATAATTTCATTCACAAAATTGATTCTTGATTATTCACTTAATTAAGCTATATATATGTAGAGTTATAGTAATACTGAGGGGTAGGAGGGCTAACTTAATGGTTACATAATAAGATTTTTGATTAACATAACTGTCCTCTCATAGATTTTTTTTAATTTTATTATTAATTATAGTTAAAATAAGGTTTTCAAGTTCAAAATTTTTAAAATATTATATTTCTAAAGCTGAGGTTCATCAGTTAATTACTGTAGACAAAAACTATACATTGTTAAAGTTTCAAAAGTTTTTATACATTATTGGTTTTCTGAATCAGTTCAAAGTTTAATTGTTTATATTAAAAAGCTAATTATAAAGAGTAAGTTATCATTTTTTTAAAAAAAATACAATCTTATAACTAAAAAAAAAAATGTTTTTATTCTTTTATTCAATTCTTTATTTATTGCTTTATTATTATATTATATTATATATTTACTAAATATTATCACTTCATGAAAATAGTACTTTTTCTAAATACTTCCTCAACAAAAGGTATTTTATTCTTCAAGTTAGCGATAACTAAAGGTATTAATTTTTGATTTCTTTTATATGGTGTTGATATTCCAAATGCCTAGACTAACCATAATAATTCTAATACTAAAAACATCTTTGCAAATGACTCCTCTGCTTCTTCAAATTACGCTCATATACGAAGTTATTCTAAAGCATGAATAGGATTAGATGGTAAGTTTGCTTTCTTTATGATAGTAGGCTTTTTCGTTTTCTGAATTTGAAGTCTTAGGTTGATTGAAATGCATTGCTTTTAAGTTTTCTTGTAAACTTGCGATACCTTTTTCTGGAATATAATTATTAATTTCTTTTTAAGTTTTTTGATAGCTTTTCATATAGATCGAGACGCATCTATTATAAATGAACCTATATTCTTCTTCATCTAGTTTTACATTAATATTTTGGGCTGAAGATTTCAAGACAGTAACAAACAATTGATTTAGATATATATTAGAAAGAAGACTATTTTTTATATAATGTAAAATAAATTTATTATACTTTTTAAATAATTCAATTATTAAAGATTTCAAATGATACATAAATCGAATAAACTTGGATTCAGGTATGATATTTATAATTTGCAATTTTGTTTTAGAAACATATTCAACTTTTTCTGTACAAAGATTTCTAAGTAAAGTGCATATAATAGGAAATTTTGGATGAGAATTCATCATATAATCTCTTTTAAGCAACTTGAAAAGTACCCAGCTAATAATATAAGAAAATTTAAAAGTTTCTACATGATCTAAAGTAACAATATCTTTAAGAACTAAGGTAGGATTTGCTTTTTCTTGTATAATTTCATTCTTAAAGTCTCTTTTGAATATTTCATCTATTACTTTACGAATAAGAAAATATACAACTAATCTTTATATAACTAGTAAAGTTCACAAAATAATAACCTCTTAAAATTGTTTAAACCAAATTCCAGAATATAAATAATTATTCAGGTTAATTTTCAGACAAGAATCCATTTAGTCATCCAAAAGCTTCCTTTTTTTTTAGAAATTGATTTCAGAGCAATATTCTTAATATCTGTTTTTCAATTTTCTAACAAAGAAACAATTTATTATCATAGAGTATTATATTGAAAAATTGCTGACATTTTGGCTTAAAAAAATAAAACTTGTTTATTCTATTGACTAACATCAGTGCTGCAAGATAAAGTTAGAATTTTAACTTTTTTATAAACAAATCATTTAGAAGAAGATCTTCAAAGATTCAACATATAAAAGGAGTCATATTGGATAGATATATACTATGGCTTAATAAGGTAGGATATATGTTATCCTTTGATGATTTTATACCTGTACTATAGTCATAATTAAAAAAAATTAGTATATATTTTTTTAGAATTAGCTTATAATTGAAAACTTACTATTAGAAAAATGATCAAATTCCATTCCAGTATGGCTTGATTTTCTATAATTTAGGCTCTTTATTTTGGCAGTTATTCTTGCAATAACTTAGAACTTATTAAATACGTATCTATATTCTTTTAGCATTTGAGTAGAAAAATCACCACCAAGCTGTCGAATTGTATCAAAAAAACCTTCAAGCATATCTTGTGATACTTTATGAGATATAATAGTTGAATTTGAACATAAAGAAAAAACTTCTTATACCATCCTGAGAAACTCTTGAATGGATAAAAGAAGATCAAACTGACATTGCAGTAAGATCCAATTTATTTTATCAGTTTTTTGTTTATCTCTAATTATAAACCAATCCATAATTTCTCTTGGAGTTTAAAGATGAATATCAGTAGGATCTTCTAAAGGTTTATTGCTATGAAATATTTGATAATAAAGATAAGAATATCTTATAAATTCCTAAATAAGAATTTTATTAATATTTAATATTTAATATTTATATATATTAATATTTAACTATTACTTACTCTTGTTCCTATAGAAATTTCCTTTAATTTATCAATAATTTCTATCATATTTTCAACATCTTTCAATAATATTTGCTCAGAAAAATCAACCCGCATCTTACTTTAAAAAGTAAGCCAAATATGTTATTTGGTAAGTCTTATAATTTTTGCTATTATATTTTGATAAATATAATCATAAACACCTTGAATATAACGTTAACTAACTTCTTTTTTATCTATCATAATCTCTCTAACATTGTGACCATTACCCTCTCTAATATGACTTTTTGAAAGATTATTCTGAAGTTTTTTAAAAATATGTATAGGATCACTAATGAAAAATTATGATGTGTCAGTAATTGGATTAATTATTTTATAATTTGTCCATTTTATTGTATTATTATAAAGAGGTCTAATATATATACTTTGATATTTAAGTTTTATTTTCCATTCTTCTTTGATAGATAATACAATAATGATAAAGGTATGTATTTTAGAATCAAAGTTTGTAATAATAGTTTCATGTCATTTATTATCTTTTAGATTTTTAAATTTGCAAGAATCATTAATTTTCCAACTCAATTTAGTCTTACTGGTTTTAAAGCTTCACGATTAACCTGAAGTTTATTAAAAAAGGATAGATCTATTATATATATTGTAAATTTACTACAATCAATATTTGTTGCTATAATTTTCACTTTTTTATAATTATTTTTTCCAATATTAACTTCAATAATATCATCTATAGACCAAATAGAAGCCCACCAGTCAAAACTTTCAATATGATTCCTATTTTCTCTAGCTTCATCACAAATAGATTCACAAGTATGAATGCTAATACATTCAAGATTAGCTGCGAGTTAAAAAAGTATTTTATTAATTTTATGGGCTGTAAGAGTATTAATTCCATAGTATGTTATTGGATATGCAAAATTGTAAGTAGCTGAATGCTAACGACTTGATAAATCTGAGTTGCTAGATTTTGATTATGATCTTTTAAATCAGATAAGTTACTATTATTGTTTTCTTTTTCATCTTCAAAATTCAAATATCTAACATAGCAATTATCTCGTTGATTCTAAAGTAAACCTATTTAGTATTAAATATAGATAAGTATTAATATATTTTTATTTATTTTTATAAATATTTTATCATAAACTAATCTTTTAGTATTTTAAAGGAATCATGAGAGAAAAGAATCCAATTCATTTATTATTACTAATATTTTCTACTGCTATTTTTTTTAAAATATGGTAAGTGGTTTTATCTTGCCATTCTGAATGTTGTTGATTTTTATTTATATAGCTTTTATTATAGATATCAAAGGTAATCGCATAATGCTTTTTATTGTTTCATAAGCAAATGACCTGTCTGACTATAAATGAAAATAGCCCATCGTAAAAACCTAAAAGAAAAGGTAAATTAAATGATTTTATTAATCTTATTTTATTTTATTTCTTTTTTTTAATAATTATATACTTACATTAGATGATATTTTACTCCTTTTGCTTTTTCACTTTGAATTCTAATTAGTTCTTGAAAAATTGGATTAAGAGGAGAAATATCAATTTTATTTTCTGTGATCTCATTAGCTACTTTTTGAGCAATTTGACCTAACTCCTCTGATACCTTTTCTTCTTTCTCATCTACTATTTTTTGAAGCTGAGCTTATAAGATGTATATAACATAATTTTGATTTGCAATTTTCTTTTTTTTTTTTTTTTTTTAATAAAAATAAATTAATTTTTTTAAAATTTTTTTATTTAATACTTTATTTAAATAACAATTACCTTTCTTTGAATTTGGATTTTTTGAACTAAAACTTCTTAGGAGTTATAAATAACTTTATTAGGGACATACCAGAAATTAGCTGATTTAAAGGGAGGGTGGAGGGACAGTCTTTATATCAGGTGAGTATAGTCACGTGATATACTTAATGTAAAATGATTGGTCGGTTTGATTTGGCTAAAAATA